CTGAAAAAAGGTGAAGGGGGTCTGAATACTTTCTGAATGCACTGTATCTATCTACACACACACGCATACATACAGTACATATAAAATGAAAAGCAAAAGTAGTTTCATTATCGTGTTGTACAGACATCGTCACAGAAACATAAACCGTGAAACATCTCCTACAGTTGTGAGGAATCCTCCTTTGGCAACCTTTTGATAGCAACTGTGGGGAAACTGAAAAGCAGGTATTTGTTTAAAACATGACCTGCATTTTGATTCACACCATGCTTTCACATTTTGAAATTTTAAATATCATGTGTTGGATGATAAAAATGTAATGGCGCTTTGTCAAGTAGGAAAGCGACACGTACGTCAGAATGATCACTGCTCTATAGCTGATGTGTCTCTCTGGGAACCAAGAGTGGAAAACACTTGTAAATGTACAAATGAGACCTAGGAAAGCCTATAGTTGGCTGCTACTTGATGCTCAAACTTTCACTGCATATGGGGGGGGGGGAAGGTAACTATGAGACTGTCCAAAGCCTGCATAATAGATTTGCTGGATCTTCAAATAGATTTTGCTGCAATGTTTATAACTTATTTTACAGAAGGAGGGGGAGGGAGGCTGCAAGAATTCCCACAATCTTAGTAGCTCCTGTTGAAAACAAAAAAAGCTGCCCCTCCCAAAACATGACTAATGACAAAGTCTCCCCCCTTCTATAAAACAATGCTCTGGTTGGGGATTTCCGTAGCAAAGCAGCTCGTGACCAAGCAGCATCATTCTTCTAGAACTGACAGAAAAAACAAGACAAAATATTGGTAATAAAAAAGATTAAAGGGGTTATGCCTCTTCTTCCTAATTTTAGATCCTGTCCCCACTCATTAAGTACATACATCCATGTCCTGACAATGCCATTGTGTCATTGCCATTACTCTATCCCCAGTGAACAAGTGGGACAGACAAATTGCTTGGAATTAAAAATAGTATTTTCCCTCTTAAGGTGACATTCTCCCACCATAGCTTCGGTGTGTGTAAAATTTGTAATGCCTTATCATTCATTACCTGGGAAGTGTGGCAAGCTGAGCTGTTGTAGATGTGATCAGAGGTATGCATTGGGCATGTTGGGAACTGTTGGTGCACACTCTCCCCTCTGTTGTTAGCCAACCTCAGGTTGTTACCTTGGTTGATTCTCCTCACTATTAGCGCTTGGTTTCCTCAACTTCTCTCATAACCATCGACCCCCCTTTTCACTGTTCTGGATACCAACTTCTCTCCAGGCTTCCAAAAAGGAAACAAGGAGAGCAGATCCCAACTATTTTGTAAGGAGAAGAAAAGAGAGTATGTTTTCCCCCTTTAATCTGTTCTAACAGTATTCTGAAATGGACCTTTATTTCAGATTGCTGCAGTCCTGCTTTTCCTTACTGCAGTGTCCAGAGAATAGAGAGGTTGAACTAGGCATTTGCTGCTTACTTGCAATTTTTCTGTATTTGTCATTTTCAAACACTTCTTTCCTCTTCCACCCATGAAATAAAAAACCTAGTAGTTCAGCAGCCAGTCAGTTTCACTCATCCAGCTTTATAACAGGGTTTTCAAACATTTAAAAGACACAGAATCTGTTAGTTAAGAACAAAATCCTGGTCAGGAGGCGGGCTGATCAAGAGGCAAAGTGCCAGAAACAGAAAATTCGCTGCTTTCAAGTGAACTTTTTTGCCCTTAATCTATAATGGGGCCCATCAAGCGCTCACAGAATCCTAGGGCTCTGCAGAACAGAGTTTGAAAAACTCTGCTCAGTAGGATCTAGCTAGTTGCACAATCACAGGATCTGCCTCCCTTCTCTCTGGCATCTTCCATACATTTCTTTATTTCACATTTTTTTAAAGTTGGGAGATGCCCAGAAGTGTAGGAGAGAGGGTGGACAAACCAGATTAGAG